AGTGGTGAAGATGTCTGCAGTAACAGGGAGAGGGTAGTTATAACATAACTTTTTCATTATTCTGAATTATGAAGGTGCAATTGTACATCCAGAAAAAGGTCATCTGAGGGCTAAGCACATAAGAAAAAGGTCATATAAAAGCTGAACATTTAGCACAGAGTTCTTATTCTGTCATGTTATTTCCTGTAGGCCTGATTTACATGATGCATTTTCTGAGTTTAGGAGATTTACAGAGAATGAAATTAGACCCTTTAGGAATAGTGGGGAGCTGGGCAGGGCAGTTAATTCTGCAAAAATGAAGGCAAACAGGGATGGAAGCCCATGAACTGTACAAGGGATTTGTTGTAAGTACTAAAAGCTGTCCCAGGACGTCAGTGGTGGACAGGGTACAAAAGTTTTAAAGAAAGAAAAGAACTTGTGTGTGAAATTTCAGAACTGTTGTCTGTAATTCTTGGAAATTATTGGAGTACAGGTGCAGTGCTAGGAAATTGCAGTGGTTAGGAAAAAAGGGAAGCAAAAGGCAAGGGAGAAAGGGAAAGATACACCCAACTGAATGCAGAATTCCAGAGAATAGCTAGAAGAGACAAGAAGGCCTTCTTAAATGAACAGTGTAAAGAAATAGAAGAAAACAATAGAATATAAAAGACTTAGAGATCTCTTCAAGAAAATTGGAGATATGAAGGGAACGTTTCATGCAAAGATTATTTTTTATTTATCGATTTATATCCTGCCTTTTTCCTACAAAGGGCTCAAGGCAGCTTATCATCTCTCCTCCTCCAGCTTATCCCCACAACAACAACCCTGTGAGGTAGGTTGTGCTGAGAGTCTGTGACTGGCCCAAAGTCACCCAGTTGGCTCCATGGCTGAGTGGGGACTAGAATCCAGATCGCCTGAGTCCCAGTCCCATGCTCTTAAGCACTACACCACACTGGCTCTCCAGATGGGCATGATAAAGGACGAAAATGGCAGGGACCTAACAGAGGCAGAGGAGATTAAGAGGAGGTGGCAAGATTACACAAAAGAACTATATATGAAAGATCTTATGGTGATAACCATGATGGGATGGTCACTGACCTCAAGCCAGACATCCTGGAATGTGAAGTCAAAAGGGCCTTAGGAAGTCTGAGCCAACAACAAAGCTAGTGGAGGAGACAGTATTCCAGCCGAGCTATTCAAAATCATAAAAGACGATGCAGTTAAAAGTGCTACAGTACAGGCAGGGTTTCGAAGAGGCAGAGGAACTAGAGATCAAATTGCCAACATGCCGGATCATGGAGAAAGCTAGGGAGTTCCAGAAAAATATCTACTTCTGCTTCATTGACTGTGCTAAGGCCTTTGATTGTGTGGATCACAACACATTGTGGCAAGTTCTTAAAGAGGTGGGAGTACCAGACCATCTTATTTGTCTCTTGAGAAACCTGTATGCGGGTCAAGAAGCAACAGTGAGAACTGGACATGGAACTACTGATTGGTTCAAAATTGGGAAAGGAGTATGGCAAGGCTGTAGATAGTTGCCCTGCCTATTTAACTTATATGCCGAGCACATCATGCAAAAGGCTAGGCTGGATGAATCACAAGTCAAAATTAAGATTGCCGGGAGAAATATCAACAACCTCAGATATGCTGATAATACTACTCTAATGGCAGAAAGTGAAGAGGAACTAAAGAGCCTCTTGATGCGGGTGAAGGAGGAGAGCGCAAAAGTTGGCTTGAAACTCAACATTAAGAAAACTAAGATCATGGCATCTGGTCCTCTCACTTCCTGGGAAATAGATGGGAAAGAAATGGAGGTAGTGGCAGATTTTATTTTCTTGGACTCCAAGATCACTGCAGGTGGTGACTGCAGTCAAGAAATTGAAAGACACTTGCTCTTTGGGAGGAAAGCTATGGCAAATCTAGACAGCATACGAAAAAGCAGAGACATCACCCTGCTGCAAAAATTCGTATAGTCAAGCCTATGGTTTTCCCAGTTGCAATGTATGGCTGTAAAAGTTGGACCATAAGGAAAGCTGAGCATCGAAGAATTGAGGCCTTTGAATTGTGGTGCTGGAGGGGACTCCTGTGAGTCCCTTGGACTGTAAGGAGATCAAACCAGTCAGTCTTAGAGGAGATCAACTCTGACTGCTCTTTAGGAGGCCAGATACTGAAGATGAAACTCAAATACTTTGGACACCTAATGAGAAGGAAGGACCCCCTGGAGAAGAGCCTAATGCTGGGAACAATAGATGGCAAAAGAAGAAGGGGACGGCAGAGAATGAGGTGGCTAGATGGAGTCACTGAAGCAGTTGGTGTGAGCTTAGGTAAACTCCAGGGGATGGTGTAGGAAAGGAGAGCATGGAGGAATGTTGTCCATGGGGTCGTGATGGGTCGGGCATGACTTCATGACTAACATAAGTATCCTTCAAGAGAAGGATGTGGATATAGTAAATCTTGATTTCTTGCTAGATGAGAGACTATTCAAAAAGTGCTCATTAACAGTTAATCTGAACTGACAAAAAGATTCCTAGGTTTCTCTCTTGGGCCAAGTGTTTAACTTCTTTATATCTGACTCTGTATGGAGGAAATGCTCCTTAAATTTTCAGATGACAGCAGGGAGGGGTAGCTAGTATTACAGAAGACAAAAAGAGGGTTCAAGGTGATCGTGCCTGCTTAGAGAACTGGACTATAACAAAATGTATTTCAACAGAGTTATATGAGATCCTGCATTTAGAAAGGCAAATATTGGTATATAAAGTAAGCAACAGCTGGCTTGAAGATAGCACATTAAAAAAAGCAAGATTTCAGCAATACAGAGTAGTAAATAAAAGGGATAATGTAATTTTAGTCTGTTCAGATTATACTATTGGTCAGACCTCATATAGAGTACCATGTCAAGTTCCTGGTACCACAATTTAAGAATAATTTTGACAAAGTGGAATGTGTCAGTAAGACAAGTGAAAGATGAAAATGGTGAGCGGTCTGGAAGCAAAGTTCTATGAAGAAAGCTTGAAAGTGCTGGGTATACCGTATTTTTCGCTCTATAAGACGCACTTTTTTCCCCCTCAAAAGCAAGGGGAAATGTCTGTGTGTCTTATAGAGCGAATATGTGTGTGCAGTAAGTCTGTCAGATGTGCAGCATGGTGCGCCCGGGACATGTAAGACCACCGCTGGGACGCTGCTGACCCACCTGCACCACATGGCACCACCTGGCCGGCACGCACTCGGTGCATCCTGCTCCGCACCCCCCCCCAGCACACGTGAGAGCTGTGCCGCTCATGGGGAGGGGTGCGGAGCAGGAGCCGCAGGCTTTTATCCGCTGGCTGCCACGAAGAGACGGACTGCCCACCCCCAGCACCCGGGAAGACCTGCCACCGCCGGCGGGATGCTGTCGGCCCACCTGCACCACATGGCACCACCTGGCCGGCACGCGCTCGGCGCGGCCTTATTAGTGCTTGACCAGTTTAGAGCACATACAAGCGAAACTACAAAACAGTGCTTTAAAGAAGTGAAGACTCATCTAGCTGTAATTCCTGGAGGTCTTACCAGCCAGTTGCAACCTCTCGACGTTTCCATCAACAAACCATTCAAGGTCTTTATGCGAGGAGAGTGGAACAAGTGGATGGCTGCTGGTAATCACGATCTGACACCTACTGGACGAATGAAGAGGCCCACTATCACTCAAGTTTGCGAATGGGTGAAAACATCATGGCACTCAGTGAAGGAGGAAATCGTTGTACAGTCATTCAAAAAATGTGGAATTAGCAATGCTTTGGATGGAACCGAAGATGATATCTTATATGAAGACAGTGGAAAAACGTGATGTCAGTGATTGTGAGCAACAGAGCTTCATAAATTCTGACTCTAGCGATGATGAGTTCTATGGGTTCAACGAAAACTAGAAGAGTACTCGAACTTTAAAGTCTCTCTCTTGTTAATGACAGTGATGATGGTTCTTAATGCCTCTGTTGACTGCTGTTCACTTTACAAGGTTAAAATACAGTATTACTGTATTCTGTTACAGTTTATTAAATAGTTTAGTAAACCATTTGATTCAGAATATTTTTTCTTGTTTTCCTTCTCTAAAAACTAGGTGTGTCTTATAGAGCGAAAAATACGGTATTTATCCTGGATGATTTAGAGCCAATATGATGATGATGTTCAATTTTTTGAAAGGCTGCCACCACACAAGTGATGGAGCAAATTTATTGTCTGATAGTGGAGACGGCAGGACCTGAACTTGAGGGTTCAACTTACAAGGAAGCAAATTTCAACTAAACATTAGCAAGAACTTCCTAGGTGGTGGACTTCTAATGGAAGTTTAAAAACTGAGCCTGGATGTCCATCTGTCAGAGATGTTATACCAGAAGAGTTATTTCTTGCATTGTCATGAGGCTAGACCAGATGACCTTTGAGGTCCCTTTCAGATTTGTGATTCTACAATATATGTCAAGAATAGACAAATTGTGTGATAGCATTTGAGGCTTAATTCGGAAATTGAGATGTGTCATGCTTCTTCTAGATTGCAGAAGAAAGCCTGCAATTTATGATTTAAGTGTTTCTTCATGCCTTAAAGTGCAGATCAAATTAAAATTTTGCATGATTGAGTTATTAGGCAGCAGTGGAATGATGATGATTTAACATTTCTTTTAGAAAAACAGTTTTCTCCCTTGAATAGCTGATACTGCTCCTGTGGACAATGCAGATTCTGGTCAGTTCATCTTTAATCAAAATATCCTTCCCAAAATATTTAAAAGTCAGACTGTTCTCATGGATCCTAAGGTGCCTGTGTCTGCATCTGAGCATCTACATATTCTCAAATGCTGATTCCATCTGTAATGTCTGCCTGGATTTTGCTTGAGCATCCAGGAGGGATTAACTTTTGGTGCCCAAGAAGAGATATATTTGGAGCTTATAATTTTTATTTAAAACTATTCTAGCCTTTCTGAGAAATACTTTGAAATAAAATTTGTTGATGTTACTATTCTAATATTTTAATACCACTTTTTTTTTCAATTTTTCAGGCAAAACTTTTTAAACATGGCAAAAGAGAGGACGTTTTACCCTATGGTAAGATTCATCAAATTGTTATAAACATTCTAAATACAATGAACTTGATGCAGCCAGATATAAGCATCATGAAGTCCTGTTGACCTCAGTGGAATTAATTTTAATCATCTCCCCCTGATGGCTGGGGACCTGAGAATTTATTTATTTATTAGATTTATATCCCATCTTTTTTATTTAAAAAAAATTGGAGCAGCTTACACAATTCTCCATCTCTTAATCTTATCCCCACAAAAGCAACCCTGTGAGGTAGGTTAGGCTGAGAGCCTGACTGGCCCAAAGTCACCCTGTTGGCTCCATGGCTGACTTCAGACTAGAACCCAGATCACCTAAGTCCCAGTTCCACAGTCTTAGCCATTGCATTAGACGTGAGTTCTTGATAGGAGACTGTCCTATCTCCTTTTTGCTACAATCCGTAAAAGCTTGGATGGAGGATAGACGAGCCTTCAGAACAGCATGGCATGCAGTACAGGTGTGGTTGGGGTAGGGGAATCACTTCAAATTGAGTGAAGGCACATCTTCTGGTTGGACTTTGCCCAAGTTGTGGAAATTTCTCTTGGAATTCCCCGAGCCCCAATATAAATTTTTTTTAGGAGGCACAAGGGTCTACAGAGAGGAAAAGGGAACAGTACCCACGGGTATCAGGGGCCATGACAATGTTACTTAAAAATACTTCACTTTTTTCTATTCTTACAGTGGATTTGGATATATGCATGATACCCTGATTGCTTTATTATTTTTTCCGTGTGAATTGACCCATACCTCAGATTGAAGTAGGAGCAGATGAAGACAGGAACAGATGGAGTGATCACACTCTTCCCAGTCTGTGTCAATTTTACCTGTGTCTATTATCACTCATAAGTCTATTCCATCCCATTTCTGCATTAATCTGTTTCTAATCCTTCTTAAATATTCTAAAATTATATTTTAAGCATCTTGGAACTGAGCAGTACATCACAAAATTATAGAGAATAGTGAAATCAGAAGGATAATTGCATTCTGATGTGACCATTAGTCTTGGAGGTCCAGCTCTGGTCAGCTTGCATCAGAATTTGGAAAGAATGAGTTCTTCAAACCCTCCCCTGCCAATTATCAGGTGCTGAAGCCATATCCTCATTTTCCTGTAGCATTTTATTAGTAGCCAGTAACAACACTGACATTTACAGCCATGCACATTGCTATATGATTCATATGAACAGAGGAAACCTCTGCACTCTTTATATTATTTATTTATATAATAAACTGTTTCAGACCGTCCCTTACCGAAGTCTCAGGATGGTTTAACAGCAAGACAAAAAGTAAAACAAAACACAACATCCTAACTGATTTCTGACAATAAAACCCATATTAAAATAACAGTCATACCTTAAAATATTGGGAAAATAAAAGGGTTTAGCCTGGCACTGAAAAGAATAAAGTGATGGCGCCAGGCAAACTTCTCTGGAGAATGTATTCCACAGTTGGCATGACCACAGAGAAGGCCCTTCTCCAGGTAACCACCTTCCTAATCTTAAGGAAGGCTTCCGGAGAAGGACTCTGACCCAGATCTTAAGGGGAGGGCAGGTACATATGGAAGGAGACACTTCTTCAGGTAACCAGGTCCTAAGCTTTTTAGGGCTTTATAGGTCATCACCAGCACCTTAGATTGGGCCCGCACCTCAAATGGTAGCCAGTGTAGGTGGTAAGGGACCGGTGTTACATGTTCAAACCTGCCAGTCACTGTTAACAACCTGGCAGCTGTATTCTGAATCAGTTGAAGTATCCGGACTGTTTTCAAGGGCAGTCCTACTTAGAACGTGTTACAGTAGTCCAGCCGGGAAGTTACCAGTGCATGGGACAGTGTTGCTAGGCACTGCTCATCCAGATAGGGGTGCAGTTGATAAATCAGCTGAAGCTGAAGAAAAGCACTTCTCACCACAGCTGTCACTTGGGATTCCAGGGTCAGCGCCAGATCAAGGAGCGCTCCCAAATTGCACACCCTAAGCCTTTAGGGGGAGTGCAACCCCTTTTAGAACAGGGTTGGAAATACCTACCCAGGAGATTGAACTACCTACCAGCAGGACCTCCGTCTTGTCTGGATTAAGCCTCAGTTTATTGACCCTCATCCAGTGCATCATCCCAGCCAGACACTGGTTCAGGGCATCCACTGCCTCACCTGGATTAGATGTAAAAGAGAGGTAGAGCTGGATGTCATCAGCGTACTGATGACTCTGCAACCCAAACCTCCAGATGAGCTCTCCTAGCGGTTTTATGTAGATGTTAAAGAGCATGGGGGATAGAATAGAACCCTGTGGAACTCCATGGCAAAGCTGCCATGGCGCAGAGCCACAATCACGTAGAACAGAGATGGAGAACCTTTTAGAGGCTGAGTGCCCAAACTGCAACCCAAAACCTGCTTATTTATCACAAAGTACCAGCACTGCAATAAAACCTGAATACTGAGGTTTTAGTTAATTAAAAACAACTCACAGCCACTCCAAGCAAATCTATGTATATCCTTGGCAACGCACTGACCGGCCATGTGAAAGCTCAGACAAGATGTGGCTAATGAGTCACCTGGTACCACTACTCCTTTCCAAGCATGCACATGGCCCCTATGTCTGCTGTTATTTGATGCTTAGCTGCTAGGGCGATGCTGGGGTGACTTTGCTCATGTGCCAACAGAGAGGGCTCTGTGTGCCCACTGCAGCATTCGTGGCGTAGGTTCACCACCACTGCCCTAGCACAACCTTCTGGAATCAACCACCCACCTAGGAGTGGAACCATCACAAAGCAGTGCTTCCAACCCCCAACCTGGCCAGCCTATCCAGAAGGATACCGCTGAGAGGTCCAGGAGAGCCAACAGGGACACACTTCCCTGTCCCTCTCCCTGCACAGGTCATCATACAGGGCGACCAAGGTCTGTCCCATAACCAAGCCTGAAATCAGACTGATATATTACTATTTCCTTTTTACACTTTAGCTATAAAAATGTTTCCTTATATTTATAAATTATCTAGAAGTTGGAAATATTTCTGTATTTAAGCTCCAGTAAACTTTTTAAAGCTATGATGTATGAAACAGAACAAGCTCCCCATCAACTTTTAAAATCATTCTTTATTCTGGAAAAATGAACAGTGCATGGGGGAACTATGCAGGATTACCGGTTCGTCTATTAATAAAGTAGCCCTAGGGACATTCTTTTACATACTTGAGCATTGCTTCAGGTGATAAATATAATCAGTCTTTCGTCTTTCATTCTTTGGACCTTAATAGTAATATTTTCATCTCAAGTATCTTTTAATTCCCTAATTTTACTCTATGAGCATTCCTAGACAAAAAGGAACGTTATGTTCATTAGTAACGATTTACAACATAATTTGCATGTATTAATACATGCATATTCTGGGTTTATATCACAATAAGCATAAAGAAATTTTAATATGAATAAACTGTTTAATTAGAAGATCCCAAAATAATTTATAACTTAGATCCTTCAGAATTGGTCACCCTTTTGCAGATAACAAAGGAAGTTGTGGTTGTCCAGAAAATTTACTGAAGTTAGTTTATGTTTAAGCCTGCTATCATATGGTATAAGTTTACTAAACTCAAGACTGCAAACTGCCTATTGTAGCAAGTTTTCTGGAAGAGATTGGGAAATCTTTTATTTTAACTACACATTGAATTTTACTAATAGATCTTTTGGGTCAGTCCTAATTGGGTTCAAAACTTCTTAGACTGCACGTGATAAATAGATCTAGAGTTAGAAGCTGAATGTATAGTCAGTGTTGTGTCCAGGTTTAAACATACTTGGAATAGACAGCCTGAACTTAATGGGACTTAGGTTGGTTATGACTAATTTATCCAATTGACTTCAGTGGGTCTACTTCAGGCATGAGTAAGGAGCTTGCAGACAGAGGGCTTCTAGTGCTGCCAATGGAAGCATTATGCAGCTGTTCCATTCCCCCACCCCCATAACTTGGATGATCTGTGGTAAGAACAAAAAGGAAAGAAAGGGTAAGAAAACGCAGGAGGGTCACAGTGGAAAGTGATGCCATTGCTCCCTCATGAAAGACTGTGAGTGAGGCAGGGTGACAGTATAGTGAAGGCCTGTTTTGGAAGCAGTCTAGGTCTGGATACCACTTACTATATTTTAGCAGAATGTTTTATTCATACCATGCATAGAAAATAAAACAGAATGTACAATTAGGGTACTCTTTATCATAAAGAAATTTGTCCCTTACAGCTTCTACTGTACTTGAATGCCTTGACAACTGCAAGCTGTCTGAAACCAACCAAACGCTTCTTCGCAAGTTGGGAGTGAAACTCGTTCAGCGACTTGGCCTGGCATTTCTTAAGCCAAAGGTGGCAAAATGGAGGTTTGTTCTTCTCAAACTCATGTTTTAACTTGCCTTCTTTCTTTTCATTGGGCTAACCTGAACTCTAAAATCTATCACTACTTGACGTGTATGAGTAATAGATTACCAGTTATTCATTTGGTGACAAGAAATTCTGGTTTAGGTATAGTGGTATGGAAACCTTTGTATTCTATAATATAAGCAACTTCTTCCTTGTCATACTTTTGTATTATATTTCTAGTATGGCATTTTTCATATGTTGTTCTGCACTTAAATACTCCTTCTAAGGATAGACTTAGGTTTACATTGGTACCAAAATAAAATCCTAAATGGCAGCCAAGAAATTAAAAGACGCTTTCTCCTGGGGAGGAAAGCTATGGCAAATCTAGTATGTATGCCACCTTTTCTGCTTCCATTGCCTCCTCACAATGCCATCTGGCAGAGCTCTTTAGGGTGGTACAGAGGCTGGTTCATCCAGGCCCAAAAAAAGATCTTGTGCCACTCTCGACAGCCTGCTGTGATGACTTCGCCAAGCATTCCAGGGAGAAAATTGCTCAGATTTGTCACAAGCTGGACTCCACTAGTGACTCAGAACTTTCGGGGGAGGTGCCAATGTTGCCGTCTGGTCCACAATTGATGGATGAATTTCAGTTGCTGCGGCCTGATGTGGACAAGGTGCTTGGACAAGTACATCCTACCACCTGCTTACTGGACCCTTGCCCATCTTGGCTACTCAAGAAAGCCAAGGACAGGATAGGGACCTGGATCCTGGAGGTTGTCAACACCTCTTCCTGGCAAATAGATGGGGAAGAAATGGAGGTAGTGACAGATTTTATTTTCCTCCAAGATCACTGCAGACGGGGACTGCAGCCAAAAAATTAAAAGACGCTTGCTCCTGGGGAGGAAAGCTATGGCAAATCTAGACAGCATACTAAAAAGCAGAGACATCACCCTGCCAACAAAAGTGCGTATAGTCAAGGCTATGGTTTTCCCAGTTGCAATGTATGGCTGTGAAAGCTGGACCATAAGGAAGGCTGAGCGCCGAAGGATTGAGGCCTTTGAATTGTGGTGCTGGAGGAGACTTCTGCGAGTCCCTTGGACTGCAAGGCAATCAAACCGCTCAGTCCTAGAGGAGATCGACCCTAACTGCTCTTTAGAAGAGCAGATACTGAAGCTGAAACTCAAATACTTTGGCCACCTAATGAGAAGGAAGGACTCCCTGGAGAAGAGTCTAATGCTGGGAACAATAGATGGCAAAAGAAGGGGACGGCAGAGGATGAGGTGGCTAGATGGAGTCACTGAGGCAGTTGGTGTGAGCTTAGGTGGACTCTGGGAGATGGTGGAGGATAGGAAGGGCTGGAGAAGTGTTGTCCATGGGGTCGCGATGGGTCGGACACGACTTCGCGACTAACAACAACCCCTCCACTGTTTTTTGTTTTCCCAGAGAAAAGTGCAAGACTTATTTTCATATACTGGAAAATGTGTTTTATACATCAAGAATGTTTTGAAAACAATCCACATAACGTCCAGCAAAACTCTGTACCTATTAAAATATTGTAAACATATGATTGTTTTTCTAGGTATCAGCGAGGTTTCCGATCTTTAGCTGCAAATCTGCAGCTTTCTGCTGATGATTCTGCTGCACAGAAAGCAGAAAATGCAACTGTTGTTGCAGAAGAGGAGGAAGAGGAATATGACATTCCAGGAGAGGTTGAAAATGTTGTAGGTATGTTTGGTGCAGATAGGAAGCAATGTAAGAGTTCACACTGTGACCTGTGCAACTTGTGAATTTAATTTCCCTGTTTGCTTTTAATGCTGATTTATAGAAGTGTACAGTTGGAAGAGGCCATTGGATCTAACCCCCTGCTTAATGCAGGACTGAGGCTCCCATCCATATTCTAACCAGACCTGATGCTGCTTAGCTTCCAAGACTAAACAGGATCAAGCACTGCAGGCTATATAGAAGCATTTGAGCTAGGAAACAAGAATGCAAATTATTTCAGCAAAGATGTGTTTAACTTTTTTAGGAAAAATATATTGTCAGCTAGATAGTATTGACTTCTGGTTCTCCCTGCCCCAAACGTCCCTGTAGTGAATGGCTAGATGATGTTGTTTTCTAATCTGAAAAATAGGACTATATTATGACCTCCATTTTAAAGTAATCTGGGATCCAAAGATTTTTAAAACCACGGCTTCACATGTGTATAATGATAACATTTTCAACAGGAGAGGAGTCATTTTTTGTTGATTGTAGCACATAGAAATTCTTTTAAATCTTGCAAAACTTAATGAGACTTAAATATTTGATTATATGGCTGAATGGTGCAGCTAACAATAATTCCAACCTTATGTACTTAATTTTCAGAGATTGATATGTACATTTTCCCTTTTTTTTAAGACCAGTATAAGACTGAAGTTGCTTTGACTGCTATGAGTCAGGGAAATTGTAGGTTGGAATGGTGTATTCTATGCTTGCTGCACAGTACTACATTTATTAGAGTGCCTTCTGGGATAGCAGTTTTAAAACTGCTATAAGCTGTTAATGTAGGAGTAGTCATAGTTGTCTTAAGAGTACCTATGCTGGTAAAAACCTGTGCACATACAACATTTTAAAATAGGTAAAGGTATTTAAAGCAGGAGTATGCATTTTGGTTCCTTACAGGTACTTTGGATTTTAACTTCCATCATCCCTGATGGTTTGTTAGGTTGTCTGGGTCTGAAGGGAGTTTTGTTCCAAGCCATCCAGAGGGTACTTGAGTGCCTATCTCATATTTATCCTCAATAAACAAGTTGCTCTAATGTCATACTAGCAAAGTCCAAGGACTACTGTGCACTAAACGCTTTCAAGACTGTAATAGTCTTCTGCTCATTGTTTTGTTGCTTAGAGTACTTTTCATAGCACTCTGCTTCTACAGAAAATTAATCTGCTCTTACTTTCCTTTGGGTTAGTATGTTTCTTATGGGCTAATAATGTATGGCAGATATTCACAGATGTATTATGTTAAAAAAATATTCAAGCCAAAAGCAGGAGAAAAACTAGCCCTATAGCTCCATTTCTTTGAATAGTGCCAGCAGTAGAATGCAGGCACCAAAGTGTATGTAGAATTAACTATCACAGTAAGTTAATTTACACTCACTTAAAAACAAGTTGCAAGAAAGCAAGTTACTACTGGAACTGAGGAGGATAGCTACTCTTACTGCTTAAATTTTAGTGCAAACAAGCCCTTGGGGGGCTTGGATTTAACATAAGCTGCCATGTCCGAAGAATAATTTAACAGGGATGACAGGAGACAGACTGTAATGAAGCCATCAAAAGGACCTTGAATCAGCTAGTGCTATCATTGTGGACAATTGCTGTGCTCACACTATTGATCCAAGTTGATGGCCAACTGATATCTCCATTATATGAATTTTGCTGTACCAAAGCAATTTCTAACTGATGGTTGTTGCTCATAACGTCACTTTCAGGTTGTTGCACCACCCTTCCCCAGTTCCTGCACCGTTATGAATTTTCTTTCATTATAAAATTGTGTCCATTTAAAAAAATTTGAGTTCACTCTCAATTGTTCACTCTCTCCAGTGAAAACCAAATTCAAAACGCCCTATACTTTCTTCCCAGTGCTATCCTGACAAGCATGGGATTATCCCATATCATTCTCTTAATACAACTAATGAGGTGCTGAGAGAAAGCAGTTACCTTGCCCTGGGGAAGGGGCCTGATCTAGAAAAGGTCTGTGATAAAGATATGTTTAAAGATAATATCCTAGATGTTTGGTAATCTTAATTAACTTATTGTGAATTGTACATTGAAGCATATGTTTTCACAGAGCAATTGCTGATTGGATTGAAAGACAAGGACACCATTGTCAGATGGTCTGCTGCAAAGGGGTGGGTATCCTTAAATGATTTTGTCTTTACAAGCTTAATCTGTAAATATCTCCAACTAGAAATTTGAAGCTACAGAGCTGAGTGGTTATTTCGAATTTACACGTGAAACTTGATACCAGCTCTTTCTCCATTACACTTTTCTCTAGGCTCTTCAGCTTACAGTCCTATCTGCTATACGAAGCTTCAGCTGTTTTGGGGACTCATCTTATTCTTAAGCATAGGGAACAACCACATTAGGCCAACTAATTGTAGAGTGAACATTATTTTATTGTTTTTTATATTGATCTCTATGTGTCTTTGAAAGAAAACAAGCTCCAACTTGAAATACTTGCTTTTTATTTCAGGGCTGCTCTTTGTTTTAGTATTCAAGAAAGCTGTGGCTGTAAAAAGTAAAGAATGCGATAACAATCAAATCATTATTCCATGTAGATTAGAATTTTCCACCTCAGAGGTGGGCAGCAGATGGCCTGCAGACTACATATAGCCTTTGCTGCCCTCTGTTGCACCCAACATTTAAATTACTGTAAAAAAGCACATGTAGTATTACACAGTGGTACAAACATCAATTTAGCTTGCTTACAAGCTAAATTTGGTAGTTGTAGAATGCCAAAAGAGTTAAGTTTAGATTGTAAACAAGCTAAGTTTAAACCTTACAGTCCTGTGTCGTTTCATGGAATGGTTTGATGGCAATATTTTTTAAAACCTCATGAGGGGAATCTCCCACAGCTGCCCACTCCTAGTCTACATTGTCTATCAGTGGTACTCCAGGGTTAACAGACAAGAGTCTTTTCTAGCTTTACTAGGAGAAGCCAGGGATTGAAGCTGGGTTATTTTCCATGCAGAAGCGGGCCTCCCACTTCTCACATCATATGGGCACTGGCTGAATGAAGGGTTGCATGGATAGCATGGAATTTTAACTGGCTGCCAGTACTGATTCCTTTAAATGGTTTGAGGATGGCCTATGATGGAAGGCATGCGAGATGCAGGGAGGCCTCTGAAGAAAGGAGAATGCTGAGTCTACAAAAGGAAGAGAAATACCTGAAAGGATTTTAAAGTGTTTTCATTGACCAGGCAAGAGTGATGGTTCAGGAAGATCTCTGTTTTGAAAATCTTAGTTGCAGTCAAAGTGTGGAGTCTGGTAAGCTCAGTGGAAAGCAAGTATTCTGGAGTAGGGGAAGATCTTTGTGACCAGCCAGATTTTACCACCTATCCCATAAATAGGTAATGAAGGGGAAATAAATATTTTATTTATATATATATTTATTAGATTTATAGTCTGCCTTGTACTTTTTTAAAAGAACTCAAGGCAGCTTACATAATTCTGCTGCTGCTCTCAGTCTTATCTCCACAACAACAACCCTGGATGGTCGGTTGGGCTGAGAGTCTGTGACTGGCCCAAAGTCATCCTGTTGGCTACGTGGCTGAGCGATGATTAGAACTCGGATTGCCTCAGTCCCACACTCTTAGCTACTACACCACACCAGCTCTCTAGAATGCTCCAGAAACTAGAATGCTGCAAATGGCTAAGTGTTCCTTTTTAATTGAGACCTTCATAGCCATCTTGATGTAATACTCCAAACAACATAGCACACTTGTCTACCTCACTGTTGGTCTGTGGTGTAATAAAACAGAATTGGCTGGATGCAGTGTAGAACCTGACTGGAGAGATTTAGTGAGTGCTCATGGGGGATGAAGGACCATTTGGACATAGAGAGCACCTATTTACATGTTTCTGTAAACAAGGCAGTGAAGTGTTTCAGATTGAAAAGAAATAAATACTCTGCTTAAGGAGTTAAGGGCTGGCACCATAAGGAGTAGAGCAAGGAGAGTGCTAGAAAAGGATGATGATATTTCCGTGATTGAAATGAGCAAGAGTGAGCACTAATTGCCCAAATTCAAGGGCACTCCTAGACTTCAAATCAAGGAGTACAAAGGGCTTTGAACCCAGTATACATGGGCAAGGCCTAGTGCAGAGACACCAAAGCTGATACTAACTAGCACCACCAAGAGCAAACTCAGTTTCCAAGCACTCTGGTTCTTTGGGAATGATCAGCATAGGATTCTGCTGGGATCTTTTGTGCTGGAAATCTGTGCAGCCTCCTACAGGTTTCAGTATTGCTCAGCATGTTGCATGCAACCTGGTTGTTAAAGCAGCATTACAATGACCCAGTAACATTGTGGCTCCTTTGTGAGTCTTCCTCTCTTTCACCTTTCAAGAATGCAGTTTGTTATTTTGGTAAAAAACAGAGTAAAGGATTTATTAGGGGTTCAGGTAAAATACTACAGAATGGGGAAAAGATTAGTTGGATTCTGATCAGACAACAATAAGCAGTGGGAAATCATTGGCAAAACATACACAAAAGGGAAAAATACAGTCTAGTCAGCATAACCCTGTACAAGCTGCCTGTCTGACTTCTTGAAGACCCACTGTGCCCATGCTAAGTTCTCCTGGTGCCTGTATCAGGTCTTCTCTCCATTTTGGTTAGGAAAGAAGGCATATCTCAGTGCCTGTACTAGAGAAAGCTGGGATAAGGCTCTCCCCTGATAGAAGGAAAAACACCCTCTGGTTTCCTTATTCAGTATAATATATTTATTTTGGTTCCTTTTCTCTTGCCTGGATGGAGATTACACAAGAACTTCTTGTTTTTGATCTGCTGCTTGTCTGGTAATGGCTCCAACTCTGAAATTCTAAGAGATTCCTCATTGTTTAGGCACCTGGACAGTTTACTATTGAATGGCACATGGACAGTTTACTGTTGAGTGCATTTGGCCTTGAGATGACCTCAGCCAGGCCATCCATATTGTAATGCTAACATCCAGGTAGACTGAGCTTTATCTTTAGCAAAGAGCTGCAGGTGATTGTAAAAGGGAGGTTTCTGTCATTTGGACCTGAGTAGGATAGAATCAACTTAGTGGCTGAGTGAGCCACTCCAGGTTCAAGGTGACGAAGGACAGCCTTCCCCAGCCTGATCCCTTCCAGCTAATTTGAGCTACATTTCTCATCAGGCATAATCAATGCCTATAGTCAATTGGGAATTGTTGTTTAAAACATCTGGAGGGCACCAGGTTGTGGAAAGCTCTGGCAGAACAAAAGTATCAATGTTTTGACTCTGGAATTAAAAATGTCTCAAAGAAATTCTTTGCTACATCGTGGAGGTAAGGCCTGCTGATTAGAGTATTACTCTAATATATATCTGGGTATTTTAGCAGCATTGCTAGTATTGCCAGTTCATGTGCACTGTTGAATCAAAGCCTTTATAAACTGTTGTTACTCTTTGCAGGATTGGTAGACTGACAGGAAGACTACCAAAAGAGCTAGCTGATGATGTGGTCGGGTCTGTTTTAGACTGTTTCAGGTAATACAGTGCACTGTATGAAGAATGTACCTTATTTTTCATGCAACCTGTAGCTATAACCAGCACTGCTATAGAAAGATACAATATATTAAAAACTCTGCAGGTATTACTATGCAGAGACATTAAAGAGAGTAAGTTTTGGAAATTATCCTGTAGAGCAACAAGTTTTTTTAAAATGGAAAAGAGTCCAGGAATGATATAAGCAGCAAATACCATTAGGGAAAGTAACCTGTCTTTTACTGCTGGATTACCTGTTTCTCTGTAATTAAAGATGCATGCTTGTCATTGTATAAATAATCTGACATAATAAATTAATATTTGGCTTAAGAATATAACCCATGAGCCATGCTGGATCAGACCAATGATCCATCTCGGTCAGATGTCTCTTCACACAGTGCCTGACCAGCTGCTCATGAGTGCCCATACGCAGCGCATGAGTGTAACAGCACTCTCCCACCCATGTTTCCTTGCAACTGGTGTGCATAAGCATACTGCTGCTAATACTGGAGGTAGCATATAGCCATCTGGACAAATAGCCATTGATAGCTGTATTCTCCAGAATGTTTCCAATCCTAATTTAAAGCCATTCAATATAATGGCCTTTGCTTCAGGTAGTGAAAATTAATTCCATAGTTTAACTATCTGCTGTATGAAGAAGTGCTTCTTTTTCTCTGTCCTGACTTGCCCACCAATCTGCTTCATAGGATGCTCCCAGGTTCTAATATTATGAGAGGATGAGAAAGATGCCTCTTGTTTTCACTTTCTCCATATTATGCAGAATGTTGTACCTTTATTGAGTATTCCCTTATCTGCCCTTTTAAAAGATAAACAACATGAACTGTTGTAACCTTCCTTATACAGGAGGTGCTTCCGACCTTTGATAATTTTAGTTGCTCCTCTTTGAACTTTTTCCAACTTAATTTTCTAGGTGTGGTGATCTGGACTCCACATGTATTCCAATAGTAGTTGCACCACAGAATTGTTTAAGGAGAGCTTGATCCTGGAAGGTTTTTCAGTTCCTTTTCCAATTGTGTCTAAAACAGAACTTGCCTTTTTTGAAAGAGAAATTTTACCACTAGGGTGACATGTTCAAGGTTCTGTTCATTACAACTCAAGATTACTTCTTGATCAGCCACTACTAGTTCAGATTCCATCAGCTTATACTTGGAGTTGGAACTTTCTGCCCCAGTGTGCCTCACTCTATACTTTTTTGCATTAAACCCCATTTGCCATTTTGATGCCCATGCTTCCAGATGGGAGTGGTCTGTTTGGGACACCTCACAATCCCTTTTTAATTTTCTTAAATGATTTTGTGTCATCACTAAACAGCTTGCTCTCTTGCTAAAGGAATTATGATTTCTGATGAATTATATTTTCTCTTAGAATTTAATACTTGTAAACATTTTAGCATACAATGGTACCTTGTACTTCAAATGACTCTTAACTTTGATCAGTCCAGAGTTCAAATGTTAAAGTCGAGATAAAATTACTCCAAAGTTCAAATGATGCTTCTATGTTTTAACTGCACATGAAGTTAAAAAACGTGGTCACAGAGTAAACATCATCTGTTGTGTACCCAAGTCATCTCTCACTGTGAAACTTCTCTTGTGTAACTCTCCTGTGTTTTCAGTGGGTGCATTTTTGTGCTTTTTCAGTGCTTTTTTTGTGCTTTATTTTTTGGTTATATATATATATAGCCACTCGTCACTAAAGTACAGTAAATGCACTAACATAACATTATTAACGTAAATTCTAATACAATGGTGCCTCATACATCGAAATTAATTCATTTCAGGAGGCTGTACTTGCTGTTTAAGTTTACTGAAATGGGTATTGTTTAGGGTCTGGGAATGGATTAATTCACTTTCAGTTATTTCTAAGGGAGAAAATTGATTTGGTCTTTGAACGATTCACAGTTCAAACAGCACCCTGAAACAAATTAAGTTTGAAGAATGAGGCACCACTGTATATTGTCATGCTTCTCCAGGTGTTCCAGAGAGGGGAGCTACTGATTTCCCTGACTTTTCAAATTGCTTTTTTTTGTGCATTTACTGCAGTTATTTTGGTTCCTTGAAAGTTCTAAAAAATACGATTTTTTTTTAAAAAAACTGGAAAACAGATGCATATTTAATGGCTAGCAGGTATGAAGGGAAATATATGCAATCCTGTAAGTATGTTGGCACTGTTGCATATTATGTAATGTTTGTATTTTACAATATAGGTTATTCCCTGCTATAGATTGTTTGCAGCCCTTTTTTGGAAACCATCCAGAGACTTTTAGTATTGGATGGCATATAACAACTTTAAATAAATAAATAAAAAGACTGTGTCAATGCCTAGTTGTTTCTTTGTGGATTAAGATGACTTCAAACTTACTTTAATGCTTGCTTTTCGGTAGGGTATAAAGATTGCTTTGTTTTTACAAGCTGGGCATTCATTTTTTCAATACATTATTCTTCAAATTAAACTTGTAAAAAGGGAGGTGGGACAGAAGCAGTAGAATCTATCATTTATTTAGGCTGTGTGTAGTGTAGGGTGTGTTGGTTGGCTACCACACATTGTGTAATCCTTCCTAAACACTTCAATAAGTTTCAAGAAAATTGGACTTACTTTTTTGCTTCGCTGCTGCACAATTTTAGAACATAATGTAATAGAGCCTTTTGTCATTCTTGGCAAAAAGGTATGATGAACAAGATGAAAATCAAAACTCAGAAAAAGCAGCTTAAATTCAATCCTGTTTTCTAAAATTATAGTTTCCAGGAAACTGATAATGCTTGGCATGGTGGATGTTTGGCCCTAGCTGAATTAGGAAGAAGAGGGTTGTTACTTCCCTCCCGACTCTCAGATGGTAAGTATCTTGTAATTTGACTAAGTTCCATGCATATTGCTTAGCAAGAATGAATAGCATGTTGAATACTTATCAAATTTATGAAAAATTTAGATGCTTCTAATAGTGTTTGGTTTTGGGAATATTTTAAATGCTAATGCATATTGATGCCTGAGGTGCATTGGAGGAAATACAAATGAGGGCCTTTTCAGTTATTATACTTGGATATTCCCTCCCTTGAGAGTGTGTCCCATCCCTTAAGTATGTCACTGAGAATGGACAAACATTCACTTTTTTGGGTGATTTATCGTCCAGCAGTTGGTTTCCTGTAGATATGCTATCTTTGTTCTTAGCATGTCGTGAGTGGAGCTGGCTGAGCCAGGGGTCAGACTAGATAGCTCGGGAGGCCCCTTCTGACTTGCTGTATTTCTATGCTTCTATGTAACTTTTATGTTGTATTTTAATGTTTTAATTTGTATTTTAGTTAAATACAATTAATTGATTAATTTTAATTAATTTTCTTTATTGCCTCGAGCAATATTCTGCTGAAGAGGCAGGATATAAAAGATTATGATAACAGATTATTGTGATAAAATATAGTAGAAATTGTGTTCAGCATTATTCACCCCTTGCTTCATTTGGCAGCCTAGCTATGATCCTGTTTGGACAGTGATCGTCTGGTTTCAATGATCTATGCTCTGGTAATCCCCTAAACTAGATTACTGAGAAACATTCTGTGTGGGGCTGCCCTTGAAGACTGTTCAAGAACCGTGGCTTGTGCACAATCCAGCATCCAGGCTAATAACAGTACTAGTATAACACTAATTCAGGCTCACCCACATTGCTCACTCTGGGCAATGGTCAACTCATCTATATATTCTGCAAGTTTCACTATAAACTGACATGCTCAGTACCTCAGAGCAGATTGCAGTACAGTTATCCTTCAGATTTTGCACTTCTCCTAATTTTGTGATATAGTTCCTGACTCAAAAAACATAATGCAATGCATTTACTCATGCATATATGAGGATAAAATATGTTCAGTAATGTGTACATTTGAAATACATCTAAGTGCACATTTTGTGGGAATATGCATTCAAAGAATCATTTTCAAACATGTAATATGAGTGTTTTCACAGATTCTTTTTTAAGCATAACATTGAAATAGAATGGATTGGACTTAACTGATGTGAAATTGATTTGGATCAGAAATAGACTCATTCATCCATTAGTAGCTAAACATTACATAGTGCACATATTATTTGTAGTAGATGTATGAACTTGTAGCTTTCTGGGGAGTGTATTAGATAGGTGTTAAATGTTTTTATACTAGAACAAATTTAAGGTTTTTTTGTAATCTTATTTTGGATTTTATGTTTCTATGCAAGATAAAATAATAAAATGCAAGCAATATAAACATGTTTATTCATAATGATTATTATTTGCAGATATAATACATAGCATTTTACTGCAAAATTAGGAAAAGTTGCATACTAATAACTCATGAAATAAAAAAAATGCTTTCAGCAAGTTCAAAAATTACATCCAAGTTCACTTTAAACTCTTTTGAAAGTCCCAGCCTCAAGACTTGAATTGATTTAATTTAAGGTGTGGCTTAAACAAAGATTCTGTTAAAGAGGTGTAAAAGCTATTTGTCTAGACGCAGATGGCAGTTCAGTTAAAGTTCTGTAGTGCTAGCAACATCAATGGAATCATACCATTGTAAGTACCGCAGGCCTAATAAAGGATGCTTAAGATATAGTATATCTAAAAGAGCTTCAAACATTACATTAACAGCAGTCTAAAGTGGAATTATATGAAAACAGTTGCATGGATATTTAGGAAGGGAGTATTAGTTCTCATTATAGATTGATAGATTTGTTATGAAATCTTTGTTATAATGTGGAATAAAATTATATAAATCTCTATGTTATCAAGGACTAATACGAGTACTCCAAGCTGCTTACCAAAATGTATTTCCAGTCAGAACTCCACAACTGCTAAGCTTTAAAAACTGAGTGGAAATTTTAACATTTAGATTGTAAAATCAGCAAACATTGAACAATGAAAACAAAAGCTAAATTAAACTAAAATCAAAGAATAAAATAAGTTGCAGACATAGTATGAGCCTCTTGCCATGAATAAGATATTTGTGCTATTGCAGGTTACACCTTTCATAATAAAAGTAGATGTAGAAGTCATTCTGCCTTAGTGCACTTAAGATCACTGGCTTCAGTTTAGATTTGAATGTTCACAAAAACAATTCATAGTCAAGGGATATTTGGGGGTTTTTGAAACATAAATTAAAATGAAGATAGTTTATATTTACATGTTGCAACCTGAACGGATCAAATAAGTCTGCCAGATTGATAAACAGGAATAGATACTGAAAACAATGGCCTTCTGTTTGATAGACATCTATTCTTTCATATGGTTGGTAGTGCATTGGAAAGTGAAATATTATGATACTCTGGTTCGCTTTCTTAGAGTAAATACTCTGCTACAGTCATTTGTTCGTGATCTTTTTGTTCCTTGCTGAAGTTTTGTTACTTCTTTTTGATTGGTCCTTTTTTGTCCTTTTGTTTTTTGGCTACAGTTATTGACCTGAGTATCTGAAGGTTTAGGAGCTGAGTCTGTATATGGAGAATTGCTGTCCTGATTGTTTTTCTCTGCAATCTCTATTTGGACTTTATTAGGGCTATAGGCAGCTAACTGACAAAGAGCAACAGCTGCTGTTTGTTTCTGCTCGTCACAATTGTCAATTGTCCTGAGTTCTTGAGATTCATTTCTCTGTGTCACAGTAAGAAGGTTGTCAAAGGAATTCCTGTCCATGTGATTCTTAGGGTCTCCTAATTCTGCTTCCAAACTTTCTTTTTCAGTTTTTAGAGGTTCACTCTTTTCAGTGTATGATGAGCTCTGGAGGGATAGTTTTGCATTACAGTTGTCCTTTACTGAGAGATTCAGAGGCATTTCCTGCAGTTCCATAAGGCTCTGATTTTCCATTTGGAGAGTAGTTTTGCACAAATGTTCATGCAAATGTTCCTGAATAATGCTTACATCAGGCTTCTTGGAAAGATTAAGTGGTACTATCCCTGCCTCGTCATCAGAATTAGACAGAGGTGGTTCATTACCATCAGTTGTATGTTGTATGTTTTCACTTTTGCTGGTAACATCATTACTAGGAAGAAAAAGAAAAAATAGAGATTTATATTGTGCAGTTAGGCAAAATAAGTATCTAAATAGGCCTAATATAGCATTTTGATTTACATATTGGGAGCAATGCAATTAACTAATAACAAATGAAGTATCAGAAGTTGCAGTGCTATAGATTCTTCTGTAGGAAGAAAAGAATCATTAATGTAATTATGGAATAAATGTGTTACTTGGGTAAAGTTTGCTTTACACATAAGAGACCTGTATTTAAGTTTCTGTGGAACCATTTTTTTTTTTTTTTTTGGTCTCATCTTCATGGTAGTTGATAAAATAGAAGAAATGCTATGGTCCACCAATTGCCTTTGATGCATACTGTGATGGATACTGTGATGGATTTAAATAATGTTAATGGCAGTTTAAGAGCTATGGTGCCAGACCATATATCTGCCTTGTGGTTGTAGTGTAAAAATATAGGATGCACGTTGAAAAAAGGTTAGTTTACTGGGAGTTCAGCAGATTGCTGCTTTACTTTTTATCTTGTCTAAAACTTTATATAGTAAGAGTGTTCAACTGATTCTGAAGTTTCAAAGCAAAGAATTATATATAATTATGTATATCAAATTGTTTCTTTCATTTTAACCTGCCCACATACTGATGTCATCTACAGCAGCCCAGTTCTGTGATCCACCATGGTCATCAGTGAGTGGGGTCATAAGTCTAGGCCTTTTCTGCCATGTTCTAGAACCCACTGACCTTGGAGTTTAGTTTCACTTTAATGGCTTTGTCAGTAAAAATTGTGATACTTGTCATGTCTTTGGCTTGGCAAAACTTTGCTTTTTCATTCTGGTATGTTTGACTTTTTATCTTGCATGCTTCAGGTTGGGTGTGTTTCATGTTTGAATTTTGTATCATGTTAATATGTATCAAAAGTTTATTCTTTTGATGTTAATTATATTTTGATTATAATACATTGTATTCTTGGTGCTTCTTTGGGCATAAAAGTTGTTTGTAAAGAATTGAATAAATGGCTCCTGGAGCAGTTGATAATTGAATTTTGAAATCCTTTGTTGAAATTGACCTGGGGGCAAGATTCATTTAACTCAGTGGAACTTACTTTTGAGTAAACATGCATAAGTTTAGGCTATGAAATTGATAATGAAAGCAGCAGATAACCATTGCATTCTCAGAATATGTGAAGGATGCAAAATACCATTTTACCCACTATAATTCATTATCACCTTTGCATTTACTTTTGTACTCATGCATGTCTCAGCCAGCCTTGTTCACTTCTTTTTCTTTAGAATTGCAGCATAATCTCATACATGTCTATTTAAAAGGAAAGTACACTGGGGTGAGTAGAGCTTTCAATAAAGTGTATATAGAAGGGATTTACAAAAATTATCCTGCAGTGTGTTTTGCATTCATTCCCTCCTTAGCCCTTCTTCAGTAACTTACAGTCTCAATGTGTACCCATGCTGGTGCGGAAGATGAGAAGCATGAAAACTAGGTTAGTGAGATGTGTGTGTGTGTGAGGGAGAGAGGGAGAAAGAACGAACAGGAAGGAAGGGTGGTGGTGGCCATATTAAAATAAACTGCGGGGATGGCCCTGGCCACTGCTGCTGTGTGCTCTTCAAATGGGTATATCATGGGAATGTGTGCCTTCATAGGAAAAAAGGCTCCCGACTCTCATGTACAGTATTGCGTATTTGATCACTACTTGCTTCCTGCATGCCTATATGTACTAGTTAGACATGTAGTGAAATCTGTCCTAGGAATCCCTTTGGGAACTCTCTTGAGGGAGTGTTTGCTTTTTCTATAGTCTTTCTTTTTTAAAGTTCTAGAAAGAAATATATATTTACCTTTTAGGTGAGTTTCCTCTGTCTTCCTGTGGTAGAGACAAAATTGATGGTTCTGTAGTTTTCCTCACAGGCCTGAATGCTGTAAAGCTTTCTTCAGACTGATCATATTTGTTAATATTAATGGATGACCTACTAGAAAGGTCAAACAGGCCTTCACAGCCCTGGCTCGTCTGAGTGAAGTTTGTTGGGCTGGGTCTGCCTGGCGACCCTGTTGCTGCACTTCCAGCACGAGGGCTCATCTTGGCATTTTCTCTTTCATTTTGGTTCTCTTTAGAATGACTTTTGGCATGCAACATAGAAATTTCTTTTTCATAATCAGCTGGGGTTTTTTGAGAGTTCAGTGAATGTAACCTGGCAGGACTTGAAGAAGCTGGATACAGCAGAGTTGTTTCCTCTATTAAATGAGAACTTGGGTCCCTGTTAATACTTGAGATGTGTGGTAGCCTGTAAAATGCTGATTCTGTTGGTCTACAAAATCCATATGGTACTGGTGGATTAGGATGATATTGCTGGAATAAACGATAGTGTTCATAAGTTGCTGGATTGATTGGTTTAGGAAGTGGACTGGGGTGTGGAAGAAAATGTCTTTGGTCTTGAGAGCTGTAGACAGAGAGCACTGAGCTTTCACAGTCATGAGAAGCTGGCAGGAAGTAGGGTGCATAGATAGCCAATCCATGCTCATACAAAGAAGGTGAATACTCTGGAATCATTGGTTGCATGTAAGATGGAATGGGAGCTAAACCTTTCACAGGTGGAATTTTATGAGAGAAATCTGGTGCAATAAGGGTAGAACCTGTTTTCCATGGGTTGGTCGGAGCATGAAATGCTGACTTGGTATGAAAAGAAGAGCCTTTGCTTGAATTAGAAAGAGATGTTAACTGAGATATATCATTACTGTCTTTACTGTGTCGATGCTCTCCTACTGGAACAAAAGCTGAAGGTCTTACAATGCCTTCAAGAGCAGGCTGCATGTTGGCTGAACATTCATCTTCATTACTGTTAAGAGTCATTTCCTTCTGAATTGATGTCTTTTGTCCATTTACTGATTTACTTGTTGCTTGAACTTCCATGTTTTCCTTTGCATCATCTTTGGCAAAAGCATATTGAGCTTTAGAGTCAAGATTTGGGAGAACTTTAGAGGAAGTTGGTTTGGCTATAGATTCTGTCTGGTTGATCTGCTTAGGTTCCAGAGAATTTGACTTTGAACACTTGATAACACGATCCTGCTCAGATACTAAAGTAATTGAATTTTTACAGAGCCCATATTTCATATGGTTAAAAAGGTGTGATTTCTCATTGCAGGTGAAAGGGCATTGAAAACACTTGTATTTAAATGGTTTTCCTGGAGGTCTTGGAATATAATGAGGTTTTTTTGGTTTACGCTCTTTGAGGAGGCTCATCTTCCTGAGTTGCTGAATAGAATTTCTCTTATATTATTTTGTTAAATGAAGCTTTTTTTGATTTATAGATATAGAACATTTACTAGATTTTCTTCTAATGCAAGGAGGAGTTTTTCAAGAGATCTTATTAGATGCCAGTTCTGCAAAGTGCCAGGAGAAAATGGTGCTCACAAAGGGAAACTGTAGCACAAAAGAAAAAAAAAGTTAGAAATAATAGATTCTGAAAATTCAAGCAAAGATATCTCTTCTCTTAAAAGTGATAAGATTATTTATTATTATTAGCATGAGAAGATCTCAGCTGAATCAAACCAAGAGTTTAGATAGAGTTTTCTTTCCTACTTTTAGCAGCCTTAGGGAAGCCTATAAGCAGGCAATTATAATGGTGGTTATCCCATGTTATGTCTCCAACATGAGTATTGCAAGTATATTGCAACTAAAGAAGGAAAGTATGTTCAGCTTTCTTCTCTAATGCCTATTAGTAGATCTAGCACCTCTGAATTTGTCTAATTTCCTTACAGCTGTTTCCATTGCTACATCCAGTAGAAGTGAATTCTGTAGGTTAACTATGTCCTATATTGAGTTAGTATATCACCAGTATGTTGACAGTGTCCAACTCTGTCCTTTCCTATAAATCTAGGGAAGGTGTTCAACTCTTTGATCAGTTTCTAATATTTTAATGGAGTAGCTGAGTATGAACAAATTGAAATTTAATCCAAAATTAAGTTTGGTGTAGTGGTTAAGAGCACGGGACTGGAACTCAGGCTGTCTGAGTTCTAGTTCCCACTCAACTATGGAGCCAACTTGGGTGACTTTGGGCCAGTATCAGACTCTCAGCACAACCTGCCTCATAGTGCTGTTGTTGTGGGAATAAGACTGAGAGCAGGAGGAGGAAAAAGATGTAAATGGCTTTGTGTTTGTTGTCAGAAAAAAACAGGATACACGTTTAATAAATAATGCAGGCAAGACAAAGATGCTTCTGATCAGTTGAAAGAAAAATCAGGGAATAGGAATTCAGTCTGTCTTGGACAGGCTTAGATTCACAACTTCAGAGTCACAGTTTGGGCCTACTCCCGGATTCAGAGGTGAATCTAGATGCTCACATTTTGGTAGTAGCCAGGAGTATGATTTCATAGCTAACTCTAGTGCACAAAGTTGCACTAGGTGTTCACATGGTGATTCATCTTGTTTGGACTACTGTAGTTACATTGGGCATGTGTTTCTACATGTAGGGTATGAAAAGTGTTTGGAAACTACCACTGTTCCAGAACGTTCTGACCAGGGCTGGTTATACTGTACATGTGACTATTTTGTTACAGCAACTTTTAATGGCTACCAGTCTGTTTCCAGACACATTTCAAAAAGCCCAGGCCAGGGGCAAACACTCCTATCTGAGTCTGACTGAGTTTTAAGGGCCTTGGTAGAGGCCCTTCTCTCTGCCCCACCAGCACTGAAGACAGAATATGTTGGCATATGAGAGAAGGATGCCTTGGTGATTACATCCAGGCTTTGGAACTCCCTCTGAAAGAATGCCCAGTTAGTGCAATCTCTGATGTCATTCCCTTGAAGGAGAAGAGATTCATAATTAGGCAGACTTTTCACCATTAGCTGACTGGTCAGTTAACTGGTGGTGCTGTTTGTTCTTATTTCTATTTTTAAAAAAATACCTGATTGCTTTTATGTTGTGTATTTTGTTTAATAGCCTTGAGTACAATTGGCGGTAAAAAGGTGCACTTTATATTAAATAAATATTTCCTTCCTTCTGTTTTGGACCTACTGCTGACCAAGTTCACTGGCTGCACACCACTTTTAGCATTATGATAGAAGGGGAAAGTTAAATTTTCTTCAGTCTTTCTACATCAATAACAATGTCTTATATCATGTCTTTTTAATCATTCCTTTTTCTAGATTAAAGCACCAAATGTTGTAGATTTTGCTTATGGAGAAGGTGTTCCACACCTCAGGTCATTTTAGTTGCTCTTTTAAAAACCTTTCCCAGAACCTTTCTGAGTTCTGAAGTGAGGGAGGAGTACTACATACAGTATTCCAAATGCAGCAATGCCACAGACTTGTATAAAACTACTACAGCACTGATACGTTAATTTTCAGTCCATATCCTACTATTTCCCAGTCTGGAATTAATTTTTCTTTCTCCTGCTGTATTAGTTCACATTTTTAGTCAGCAGTCTAACACTATCACAGACTCTCTCTTCTGTGTAAGTCTTAGTCAATTAAGCATTGGTTTATATGTGAAGTTGGATTATTTGTCTCAGTATATATCATTTTGTTCTTACATTGTATCTCATTTGCCATTTTATTGTCCATTCACTCCCTATAGAGAGTTCTTCACAATTTGCTTTAGCTTGCATCATCCTGAAAAACTTGACATCATCAACAAACTTGGCTGTTTCACTCTTCACCCATACATTCGCTTTTACAAGCCTCAGAAAAGTGAAGCTAAAGCAAAAGAATCTTAGAAGCCTTTGCAAACATGATTGCCCCAAGGGAAAGCACCTATGTCTGTAGGCAGAGCCCTAATTAAATGACCTGAAGTTCAGGGGTGTCTACAACCAGAAATTCTTGTTGAATTAATTAAAGAGAACTGATTCAAACAACAGTGGAGGAGCAACCGCTCAGGATGTGACTGGGAAAAGATGAAAGCAGAGGGAGAGGGAACTGTAGGTGGACGAGACTAAGAAACAAGGCAGGGCTAGGTAATAGAAACAGAAGCTTGAGTACAATCCAGTTTAGCCAGTTAGGGAAAGAGGAAGAGATTCCTTGCTGGGGAGAAGTCGGGTGGAGTGGGATTGACTCCATCCGGGAGAGCTGTCTTAGCTCTACTAGAGAGCAAACAAGCTTTTTGAGCAGCTGAAACAAATATTTAAGTATCAACAAATGTGAAAACTTGCAACACCCCATAACAAACCAGATTTTAAGTGCTGAAAATGACACACACTCACCAATTTTTGGTTGGTTAACTATCTTGCACTCCTTGCTGTACAACTAGTTTTAGTATGTGTTACCTGATTAACAAGCATTTATTTATAGGGGCATGCTATATTTGCTTTCACACAGAAAATGAAACAAGTGGATACTTTAAATATAAGCTGGTGATTTTCTCGGCAGATAAGTCAGATGGGCTTGTATTGACTTGTTCCATTATGTTTCCTGATTTTGAAGGCGTGAGAATCTCTCAGAGTCATGTTCTCATGATTTTATAGGATGTGTTATGGCAGAGATCTAAAAACTGATGATTTCATCATGAACTGTAAGCACTAGTATCAAAATGATGACTGTTGCAAAACCACATACTGTATTGGAGTTACTCGAAACTACTGTAATATATTGTTAATTTTACAGGAACATTTGATGGCTTTTATTTTTTTTTAAAGTCCTTTCTGCCCATTGCTGTTTAGATAGATACACTGAGATTGATGTTAAATATTTTAAGTGTTGGAATCAAATATTAAGATTGGGAGAGAATTGAAAGTAAGGATAACAATGAGATATCTCAGGCCCCAAACAACAAATGTATTTCAGCAAGTGCTTTCTGTGGGTCTTACTGGGTTTGTTAAATGATTTCATGCATCTGATGGAAAACTCATGCCAACTTTCTTATTTTTTAAAGTGCCACATGACTCTACAATGATTTTCAGTTATTAGCATTACTACTCAACAAGAGGTTGTAAGGATAGAAGTTTTTTTTTATATCAAGATATTTAAGTATTGTATATACAATTCTTTTAGGTTATTTAAAAAATAGTTATCAGAAATTTAACCCATTACACATGGATTTATGATAGATGCAGATCATTTATTTTCTGTAGAAAGGACAGCTTTTTCATGGTTTCTGACATGGGCCTGGATCCAAAGAACTACTTAAAGGAAGCTGAAGAAGAATTTTTATCTTTTTTCAGCAGACTCCTTATGTAACTAAGCAATTTAGAATGTGAGAAGACAGGTGTTTAGAAAACACAAGTTCCAAATCCCTTAAAGGATGTGGTTCTTTGGATCCCAGTCATATAAATTACATAACATAGAAATCTAGTCTAGAAGATGTTTAAATAGTAGCAAACTTCAGTTTATCAGCATTGTTTATTTTGCCTAGTTCACAGGCTCCTGAGTGCAACATATCTTTCCAAGTAGCATTTCTTTTTGAAGAGTTTTGCTTCATTGGTTATTCCGAATAGTGAAAGACAAAAGGTGAACACAAAGGTAATTCTTACAGCCCGGTCCTGTAGCCTTTTAATCCAAACTAAGTCCTGTTGTATTCAGTGGAACTTACTCCTTAGTAACTGTGTTTAGGATTGCAACCAGAAGTTGCATTCCCATACACATGTAATTGGAGATAAACCCTGTTGAACTCAGTCTTGAGGAACAAAAATAGGATCATACTGTTAACTATGTTTAAATGTAGTAATGTTTGGTACACAAAACAATCTGATTGTCTCTGCTAACTTTAAAACAGGGTATTATGTAGAATTTGCTAGGAAGCTTTTTCAAAGTATTGCCATTTTTGTGAGGTAAAGCAGCACGAGCTTAAAGAAGCTTCTGGATAAATGTGAACTTTCTCTCCCCAACACTATTTTCACAGTTCTTTATATACATGGTTGTAAATGTATCTGTGCCTTTTTGCATCATGACCCATGCAGAGATTCACATCTCCTCAAGCAGGAATGGAAATTCATTTGGCAATAGGTTTTCTTTTGTGTTGGCTATTTCTTAGTTGAGTACTGAAAATTCATAATTGTCAAAATATGTAGGAACTTGCTTTTTTAAATATTAAAAGGGGTACTTTGAAAATATTTATTGCAGAGCTGGCATAATTGTTCTGCTTAATAGGCCATAGCTATGAATGACTGCACAAACATGTTTAAAGAACATTAATACGTACACACTCAGCTGTTGCAGCATTCTTTTTGGAGATATTGATCTGGCTGACGAGTCTTCACTGGGGTGGAGCATTTAGAAGGGCATGCTGTGATTAAAATATTGTGATGTGGCATTATTGCATAATTCAAGATCATGCCATTGTCACCTATCCAGTATTTTGCAAGAGCAATGCTTTGCAGTTTTATTCTAGTTTAGATTTTCCAGTGATTAACCGCTCCTCCCTGCTAATCTTTAAAGCAAAGATGTATGTTCTTCTAAAATATTATTTTGTGGATAATAGTTGATGGTGCTTAGATGATCAAAGCAATAGTTTGTATATAGGCTAGGATTGGAGGTGAAGAAGGAGAATTAAGATCCACAGATTAGTTGTGTAGAGAATGGTTAGTCTTAGCTTTTCTACAATAATTTCTAATTAAAATAATTAAATGATTTCTTTAAAAATAACTTTAAACCATTTTCAGTACATCAGGGTAATTGTCCATTTTTGAAAATCTAACATACAGGTATAATTTCAGTACCGATGTCTTATTTTTCTCCTTCTAACATCCTTGCCCATGTATACAACTAGAGATACAATTAAGAAAAATACAAAGGTAGAATACCATACTGCATTTGACAAATATTAGAAAACCATGGAAATACTTTGTAGCAATCAGAGCTCAGTACTCCAGTAGAATGGAACATACCAAGTTAAACAAGGAAGCTATATATGTACTTTTAAATTGAAAATAAAAGAATGGGTTTCTTAATAAGGGTTTCAATTTGAAAGTTGTCTTAACAATGTTTGGAAAGTAAACAAAAGAGAAATAGCAAACAGGAAATTAGTTTAAGATGATTAGCTTTCTCTTTTTTTAATATAAAATTTCTCAGGCAATGCACCTGTGCAAGAAGAGGAGTTCCTTTCTTACAAGGATAAAGTGCCAGGACAAGCTAACAAACACTAGGATTCTGTCAGTTAATTGATTTCTTTTACTTTTAAGCCTTTTTGTTATTTGGTGCTGATTTAAAAAGTTCACCTACCTGTGAGTTTGGAGACTGAGGTCCAAGTTGGTTCAGAGTTGTTAGACTGTTGCTGTCAGTGTTGAGAGAGAAATACCTGTTCCCTGCTTGATTAAGTGAAACTGAAGGAGGCTGTTTCAATGGGAGGGACTTAAAAGTGGAGGAGTTAAGCCCGGAGGGTGTAGAGATGCACCTGATATTACTTCAGCCTGAAGCTACAGTTCATGTGTTTCCATCCACTGCTTTCATTTGATGTTACCTCAGCATCTGAGCTATCAAGCAGAACTCTTGTCATGTTTGTGCCCTCTAACAAGCAAGTTTTTGTTTCTCCCACGGAGTTAATAATCTCCTGTCAATGGGAATAGAACACAGTACAGACATGTTTCTCAGTTTGAGATCATTTAAATCATTTCTAAGTGAAAGGCAGATCATAATAAAGACTTTAAATGGTCATAAAACAGCAGAATAAATTCTAGGCAGAAGCTAACATTGCATTACTTCATTTAGATTTTCTAGACATTATCCTTCTGTGAGAATTCCTGTGTGCTGCAACATTCCTCCCCCACCCACCCCCAATACATTTGTCCTCACAATAACTTCTGTTTGGGAACAGTGAGCCTGAACTAACTCAGAAGAGTACCTGAAGTAGAAACCTGCCAAAGCTTGCCGGTAATCAGCTGCCAAATGCATTATATATGGAAAAGAAAACTGAATGTCTTCATTCACAGCCTGACTTTCTACTGACTGAGCACAATACATGACTACTGTAGTAGTCATTTTTGATTACTTTATGTCATGTATGTAAGAGCAGGTAGCAAACTGTAAAAATCTGCTTAGGCATCTTTTCTTTGCTTCATTCATTTATGCCAATCTTTCCCATGTCTCATACTGTAGCTATTGCCATCTGTTCTTCTTCCTGCGTGTGCACCCCGGAGTGGCCTCTAGGTGCTTTTCTGAAACTAAGTGGGATGGTGCCATGTCCGCAGTTCCTGTATTGCCTCTTTGAATTAAACAGGGCAGCATGGTGAAGGCTTTGTGCAAGCTGTCTGTGCCTAGCTTGTGTCCTTAAAGACCAATTGCCATTTTTGAGAGTAGATTGAGAGAAGGAAAGAACACATGTAGTGCAATTGGCATGCAGTGTGTTCTTCTGTGGAACTGGCTTTGTCCCCATGTAATTGGTTATGTGCTTGGTTACATGCAGTTATTACTTGACAAAGCTGAGTAAGTGAGTATTAAATTAGAAGGCTGAAGTTATGAATAATTAAGGGTAGCTGTTTGTGTTGATTTTCTGATAGTTCTGAGGTTTTTAGCTGAAGCTGTAGCCCAAGTTGTGATAGAATCAGAAATTTTACTTTGCTAGATTTTCATCATCAAGTTTGAAAGTTTTTGTTTTTAATTATAAAAAGCAAGTTAATTCTTACCATGTAATTTCACAAGTTGTGCTCCCTGAGAGTGATTTTCACAAAAATCTCTCCCTTTAAGCAGTGTTTTGCAAGAGGACTATTGTGTATGGGTGTGGGGAGGGGGGCGAGAAATTACATTTCTGTTGCTGAAACAATTAAGCCAGTGCTTCCTAGCCTCTGTCCCATGTGTGGTAGACTAGTTTTGACAAAGAATGTATGCTTCTGGAACCATATCCTAAAGCCTGCCCAGTTGAAAGAATGCTGTTGTAATTCATTTACACTTATTACATTGAACGAATGACCATCTCAGTGTGCATCCAATTACTGCTGCAACTGGTCATATTCAGCAAGACCAAAAGTGGGCTGAGCACAAAAGCCTAGCAATGTAGTATTGTTGGGCAATGAAATGACCAGTACTTCATGGCAGGGAGTGATTGTAAGATCCGAAGCTGTAACTAAGATCTCCCAGAGACAAGCAACACATTTCATCCTGCAAGTGCCTGCAGGACCAGGAGCCCATCTATAGCTGCTTGCAAGGATCAGAACTTTTGAAATTGCATGGCACCACTGGCAGATCTGGAAGGCTCTGTAAAAGTCTTCCCTGTGCTGCTCAGTTTGGCCACAGGAATATGGGCCTTTTGGTGGTTGCATCATGCTCCTGATTCTGCTTTCAGTGTAGCCTTGTCCTTGACCATGCCTTGTCTCCTGCCAGCTTCTGCCCTTGTCTTCAGCTAATCCCACCTGCTCTGCTTCACCTTGCCATCATTTAACCTTCTTTTGCCTCTGGGCCTTGCCTTTGCCTTGGTTCTGTCACACCATGTTGATATCCGTCCTTGCCTGTTCCTGACTCTGGCTTTGTTTCTAGACCTGCTATTTCTTGTTGTTATCTGACCTCACTCATTCCTGACTTTGCCTTACTGGATATCTGACCCTTGCTTGTCCCTGATGTGGCTTTTTCTCTGACCATCCTGCATTTCACTAAGCCCAACATTTACCTCCATCATCCCTGAACTTGGTGTTTCAGCCATAGATACCTGCTGCCTGTCTTCTGGGCCTGGCAGTGATGGTCCCACTACCTTGCCAGCTGGGTATGTTCCCTCTTTCCTTCCCTTTTCACAATGAAGGTGATGGGTTAATTTGGCCTTATTGATGATGTTATATTGCCAGATCTGATCAGCTGATTGGCACCTGACATATTCACTATGTGATCACTAGTCATCTAGTATTACATAGCGATAAAGGAAAAAAAAAAACACCAGACATTAAAACTGCAGTGTCTGTTTGAAGGAAGACTGCAAACATACTACAATTTAAGCAGTACTGGTTGTGAAATAAATGAGGAATTACTTCCATGTGTTGCAGCATATTTGAGAATTGAGGTGGTGTATACTTTAAAATATATGATTCAAACAAATTTATACATTTTCTAGGATTTGTACAGGTTAAGTAATTTGTATGTTTTTACATATTTTGCATAATTTATTCTGCTTCTGATAGTTTTTTGGGGGGTAGGATGTTGTGGGTAGAAGTAGAACACCATGCTTTGGTTTGGTTTCTGAGATTTCACTGGACTTTCAAATCTGTTATCATAGCCAGGTGCTATATATTTGGTGAATGCATGGACTTTTAAAAGATAAACTGAAATTTTTAGGAAGCTGAAGTTGGTATCCATTCCCTCATGGATAGTTTTTTTCTGTGTGTGCATGGAATTATATGAGATTATATAAGGCAGGTTAGAACAATAATGGTGTAGGCAAAGTAACAACAACATTTCTTGCTGACAGTTTGGTTTGCTTTGAAGCAAAGTGATGGCCACTACCATCTTTATTAAATCTTGGAGGCATTCTTAGCAGATAAAGATGATGTGTGACTATGGGCAGGGTTTGTCTCTGTAGTATGCCCATTTACCAAGAAAATCTAGGGTGAAAAAGGGTCACCTATCATGAAAGGGACTTCTGTCACTTCAGTGTAGTAACTAGGAGATGATGGCTAAGAAAGCGGAGTGGGGTGGTGGGGACAATGACTAGGCCAACTTGGGGATAGCTCAGGCAAGTGAGCAGGAAGTCAGCAAAAAAGGGGGAAGGAAAGTTGGCAGGAAGCCAGCTAGGGCAGGGGAATCAGCTGGAAGTAACCTGAAGGGTTGGGAAGGACCATGTGTTTGAATTTTGAATGGATAGAGGGGTGTGTGTGTGTGGGGGGGGCTTTTTTAGGGAACAAATTTTGGAAGAATCCTTAATAAGTGTTTTTGTATATGTAATTACAGTAAGGGGTGGGAAGAGGGGTCTGTTTATGACTAGATTGTGTGTGTGTGTGTGTGTGTATGTGAGAGAGAGAGAGAGAGCGCGCACACGCAATCTAATAGCAGATGATCTAGGGTATGAGAGGATCCAGAGTAACAGGTAAAGCCTGTCTTTCAGACAACATGACAAGCCATTGCTGGTCTGTTGTGTTGTCTGAACTCTGTCATGGTGTTTTACCATGGTAAGTTTGTTTTTTAGAAACTGCAATTACAAACTTGGGGATAGCTCAGGGAAGTGAGCAGGAAGCCTCAAAAACAGGAAGAGGAAGAGGAAGCCAACTGGGGCAGGCAAATCAGCCAGAAGTAATCTGATGGGTTGGGAAGGACCATGTGTTTGAATTTTGAATGGATGGGGTTTTGTGTGGTTCTGTGGTTTCACTGTACCACATTGGCTTGTCATGTTGTTTGAACCCAAGATCATGGTTTCCACAGTCATGGAATGCAGCAACTGCAGAGTGGAATGAGTGGCAACTGCAGGAGCCATTCCAGCCATCTAGCCCTTATGTGTAGACCAATGAGGAAGAGGCAGGCCACTTAGGAAGGAACCAAAGCACTTTTGGATTGAATTTCAGGCACTATGGCTGGTGGGAAACATGCCAACAGTGGAAAGACTGAGTAGAGAGGATGGAAACCACGATAAAGCAGAAACCACTTGATTTTCTGTCAGGTAGATCATGGATGGAAAAGTGCACCATGGTAACTATGCAGAGTTGCTTGTTATGTTGTGTGAATGCAGCCAAAAAGATAGATGAATGAGTTAGCTGACGGAGTGGCTATATGTGAAGGAGTTTGTCTTATTTGAAATAGATTTCTATTGATGCTGAAAACTGTGGGTTCAAAGGAACTGGGGCTCAGATACATCTCTGCCTTATATTCAGTGTTTTGTACAGGTTACTTGTTTCTTGTAACTTGTTACACTTCCCATGGCAAGCATTTTGTGGTAGACAGTTTTCAAATTGCTCAATGCATGGGTCCTCAAACTATGGTCCGTAGGACGGATCAGGCCCACCATGCCCATTTATCCAGCCCTCCGCCTGTGGAGAGGTGGTGGCTTGCTCACTCGGAGATGGTTTTGGACTGTCTGGGAGATCTCTGCCACCCTGCGTGCCCGCCGCCGTCTCACTGGCCCGCACACCCAGGCACCCCCACCTCACCTGCCTGCGCTGGTCACTGCCGCCTTTCAGCTGGCCCCCTATTGAAAAAGTTTGAGGATTCCTGGATCAATGTGTCTGTTGGCCCACAAAGGATGTAATCCTTCTGCTAGAAAAATCAACAAGAGGATAAGCTTCTAGATCTTTCCCACTTTATAAGGGAAAAATGACTGAACCCACTGGCAATGTATTATGATGTGAAGCTGTACTTTTAATATTTTCATCAGCATTGTTAAAGGAAATTAATATCTAGATCAATTGTTATAGAGGGTTCTGTTCCTTTGGCATTCTTAAATGAAAGAGTAAAGCAGCAGTAAATTGTATTATTTGTACATTTCCCCCCTGGTCAATGCAGTTAACCTTTGACTACTTTATATAATCTTGAAGCAGTATTGTACCCTACAGTCAAAGTCCAGTGCTCTGCCCTAAGGCTGGATACTTATATTTATGCCTCTCTAACAAATTACAGAGTTCCAAAAACTTGCTTTCCATTTCC